ATTTTTCACTTTCCGATTAGAGTTTAGAGAGAAGAATCCTAATAAACAGCTATAGTTCGAAAAGAACAAAAAATGTGGTAATCTCTCCCGTTGAACCTCCTTCAAAAAAGAGGAAAAGGACAGATAGCCCTTGAAGTACAAGTATGTAATGAAAACTAACTTTTGGTTTGTACAATTTTGAGGAGTTCACAACCTTACTCGTTCAAAAATTACTTCTTAATAAGTTTTGTTTTCTTTCCTATTCAAGAATTTTTCTCATTTGTGTTGCATCCATTAAGTTTACACCAGCAAAATATGTTTCATGCTGAAGAACCTGTCTTTCCCCGACTTTCCAGACAAAAAAAATGTATCTCTTACAACACTGATAAACGCTATTCCTTGCAAAGACCAGAAGTTCCTAGTGGCATGTGTCAAAAAGTCATCCTTCCAAAAGTCATCATTGGCAACATGGGCGAAAGCCCGTAATTTAGATTTTGTTGTGCAAGCTTGAAAAGTGTCACGATTGTTGCTAGTAATCAGCTCAGTATGGATCGAAAGAGAAGAAAAAACAAGTGGTTATCTTTCTGATAAGACCTCGCTCTAAAAGAGGAAAATAATAGCCCGTAGCGTGAGGCGCAATAAATCAAAACTAATTTTGGTATGTAAAATTTTGACGAGAAAAATCAAAACCTTACTGATCCAACTCTTTAATAAGTTCTTTTTTCTTTCCTTTCCAAGAAAAATCGGAATGGAAAATTGATCTAGCTCGCCCAGAAATAATTGAAAAAATCAGAGATCTAACAAATTCCTTCATCTTTCCAAACACACTATCATTCTTTGCTCCTTGGCTTTTAGTATTGGGCGATGGAAGCATTAAATGAAAGAGGAAGTAAAATTTCATCCTTATAAAAAATTACAATATTCGAATAACTATTCATAGTCAAATATTCATCAATATAATTTTGTAATCCTTTTAATTCTCTTCATTGCTTGTTTGAAAATATTTAATTTTAGTATTTTTTTTTTACATATAATTTCCTACGTAAAAGGACTTTCATATAAAACCACCTTAAACTATTGAGTCATACAACGTGATCTCCGAAGAGTTTTTTTGCAAAGTTTAAAACGCAATTGTATTTTCGTTAACCCTTAGCAACGTTTAGAGGTGTAAAATGTTAATTTATTTGTTGCGTAAACTATTTTCAATAAACCTTTGAAGCGGCTCAACACCAACACTTGTAGGTGAAAACTAACTGCTCAGTTTGTTAAGCAATCTAGTCTCTATTGGGGAATGCTGTTTCAAGTGACATAGGTTACTTTTGAGCAAATCAACAGTTTTTTCCTCTTTAGAAATAATCCAGTGTCTATCAAAAAAGTTTTTCGAAATATTTTCAGCGCCTAAAATATTCCTTAAAGTGTCTCCTACATCGAAAAATTTGATTTACAATAGTTTTCAATATCTGCTTTTCTCTTTTTGCAACAATCTGCAATATTCGTAAAGTCTGACGACAAAATAAAAAAAAACGAGAAGACCTAAAAAAGGCTTACATAAACTGAATAATTTGGATGCACTGTAGGTTCCCATTGTAAAGTAATTCTATAAATTACTAGTGAAACATTCAATCCAACAACTCACGTTTTGTTGAGTTCTTCTCCACCAGTGTACACGTTGCCCATCCGAAGTATCCAATCCTGTTTAAATTCCTCCTTTCAAAACCTTTTCTTCATCCTACAGATCCAATAAAATACATTGATTAGTCTAGTGCCGCTAGTATCATTAGGATTTTAGCTGCCTAACTTTATGTGATATTATATTGCTGAATTGTTTTTTAAGCTGACAATCGAAATAAGGCGGTGTTCTCTTTAGTGTTAAACGCCGGTCAATTACAATCCACGTCAAGACTAACCCCAAAGTAGTAAACTGTGATATCAAAAGAAGAGTTTAGGAGAATCTAGGGAATGAGGGAATACGTTGAGTATTTCAGCAACTTTCTCCAAGTCCTTATTGTAATGACTTCCTCTTTACTCCTAGAGGAACAATAAAACGATCAATTTACGTTATTGTGATCTCTCACATCACTCTGTTTATTTCTTATTTCACGTTTTACATTCCAAGCTTCCAATTCTCCTTTTAAGACCAATTTTCAACTCACTCTCCCGACTGTGAAAATTACATTTACAAATGAATAATTAATGAACGTCGCACACCATCAAATGAAAATCCGTGTCAAGGCTAGCCTCAAAGAAGATCCCAATCGAAAAAGGTAGCAGAGGAGGTAAGTCAACCCTAAGTTTTCTCCTCAAACAGGAATGTTTATTGCCAAATTTTTTTACCAACTTTTTTCCCCAAGATTTTTGCTTTTTTATGCCTTTTGTAATCCAGAAAATAAGTAGTTAAGAGAATTAATACACGGACGTTTTCCCTAGCCAGTTACTTTGTGTGAAATTCGATGTGCAATCTTTCCTTGCACTATTTCCCTTTTAATTTTGCTTTCGCTCTTCATAAATCGTTCACATGTGGCCTTACATGTTCAGATGGTATATCTTATCTCGCAAATATCAAAGTCCAACATAAATCAATTCTGGTAAGAACTAAAAGAAACAATTCTGATTTCGTTATTTGTTGTCGTTTTTAAGGTGTTCCATTCTGTTTAAGATAATTCTGGATTACGACATGCACGTGAAATGTGAAATAAATTAGTACAAGTTCATAATACGTGCAGGAATAGAAATGTGGAAAAGACCGTAGAT